TTGAAACTGTTAATGTTGTTAGAATCTCATTTTCTAGTATCCAATAACACGATATACGCATGATAGTTTAGAGTGGGCAAAATCATTTTGGAACTTGCCTTCTCCTGATGCGTCACTGGTAATTTGTTGAGAGGTGAGTTGATGATGGAATAAAGCCGGCTCGTAGGCCGCTTGATGAATAATAGCAGTGGCTCTTAGGGGGAATTTTTGTCTGAGGGCAGATTGCCGTTCTTCCGCTTCCCGCACGGCTCTTCGCACCATTTCTTGTTTTTGCTTTCTTCGCGTTCGAGTCATCGTCATGATGGTTTGGCTCTAAAGATAAGCTCCNAATCCCGCAACCTATTGCCTAATAAGAATCGAAAGTCATTGTCTTGAATGAAACGTCTGCATAATATGTGATAGTCGACTCTAAACAATATGTAATAATCCAACTACCAAATAAGTTCAACTGCGTTCATCACTGGACGTTTTAAACACTTCGACGAAAATATGACGAATACATTACAAATATGGATAATATCATGAAATTGACTGCAAAAAGTAGCTGTTGTCTCGCCATATTTGTATCTTTTTTTGGTCCGCTTTATCTTATTGTTAGATGTCGCATCAAAAATATATTCGCATAAGAGGGAAGAGTCTAGCGATTTGCAATTACACGTGAATTGGGGACAAACCGTTGCTTGTTCCTCTTCCTTCAAGGAAAGTTCTTCAACTTTTGTTTTGACATGCGGCATCCACGGTGGATCGACGACTGCCGATTGACTCTGACCGATTGGCGGAGATGGTAAAGTGAAGTCAATACCTGGCGGAGGAACCTTGAATTTGAAGAATATCAGTTGCTTGGAAACTATGTAATAGCTGATTTCGTAATTATGATCCTATGTTGCAGAAGTTTAAGAATTGATGAGGTTCAATTGAACAATAACTGTGAATGCGGATTTCTCTTGAATTTTTCCGAATAACTCCTAAATTTGGTTTTTCCAGGTGGAAAACTGTGAAATGAAGTTAAAACGTCGGCTTTGAATTCGGTCAGAGATCGAAACTGAACCAAATTTAGTGCTCTGGACAGCTTTGTCGCTCTAGACATTTCCAGAAGTCCTCTCACTCTTCTTGATTGGTCATAAATCTCCCAGATTAACTCATCAGATTAGAACAATTGAAAGGCTATGATGTGCTGACTTTAAAGTTCATTTGAGCTCCATCCTCCATTTTCAACCAAACGTGGAAACGATTCCGCCAGAGCGCATGAAACCGCCGGATTGCCGCAGTTCTTACGCTTGCATCTGGATTCGTCAAGTCTTTTTGCATAACCGAAACAGTAGCCTCTTGACGCCGGACGGCCGTTACAATGAACAGAGATGCTGAAAAACTAGGCAATCAACTGGAAATGATATTGGCTTATTCGTTNCTTTCAGTGTTTTTAATGAAAATCATATATATTTATTCCAGTTTTCAAAGTTCATACTTATCACTATTTCCCTGCAAGCCGTGCTTTCAGTCATACGTGATATGCATGGATTTCGGAGGAAAAATTGTCTGAATTTCAGAGCTGTGGCATAAAATGATTTATTTGGTTTCATTCAATTGACAGTTTTGTATCGATGAACATTCCCATTTCAGCAGGGCATAATGGCGAACCTGCTGTTGCAACTACATGTGCATCTGAATGAACAAGCAATTGCCATGAGATGTTCAAGGTTTCACTGTACTGTTCATCTTTGAGCACAAGACAACTCTTGAGCAGTGTTGATAACGGCGAATGTGCTATGTGCAGAACTTGTGTTCGAATATAACTCANGATGGCCGGTGCTCGTTGACGAGCCTGCAGCTGACTAGCTTCTATCAGGTCATCAGAATCCTGAAACATTATCTTTATCCATGATTCGCTGACAAACCATTTTCAACGACATATTACAATTCTAAAACACACTTATGAGCGAGCGTTTACTCATCTGTTAAAACAATATTAGTGGACAGAATTCAGGCTTTGGAGCAGAGTTTTTTTGAGAATTTTTTGGTTGACAAATAGATCATTTGAGAATTTCAAGTGAGATCGACGCGATTAAGCATGCTATGGAGCATTCGAATTTCTTGTGAATAGACCCAATGAATTCATTATTCAGTGATTTTGTGAAAGTGAACAATTCTAATTCCAAAGAAGGATTTCTATAAAAATAACCTGATTGACTGCTTTCTTAGCTCTAGCCTCCTTGCCTTCTTCAATTTCATTGAGTTTTTCAATCAGCAAACCCCTCAAGGCCATCGGTGCCTTGTCCACCAATGCACCTTGTCGGACAGTCGCACTTTCACGTCTCGCCACATAGCAAGAATGTCTTTGTAGCGACTGAAGATGGACCGAATTTATTTAATTACAATTCAGATATCATTCGATTTAAATTTAGCTAATTACTAATTAATCATTCTTATCCATTCGATCAATATTCGCAAAACTAGTTCACTGCTAGCACATGAATGCCTGCCTCTCTATAATCGACAAATATCATTTTGATCAAAATTTTTTTCGTTCCTTGCTGCAAGGTTCTACTCTTTGGCTCCGGAAATACCATGTCTTTAGTAAGCTCAGGAAGAGTGTAAATCATCTCTTAAATTAATATTCAAATGCATGATAAATGCCACCAGATATTTTGATATTCTCAAACCTTCCGCATAGTCTCCTGTTTAGTATTCCACATATCGATCAGCGCTTTACGCCTGTCCAATCTTGTTTCCGAAGGCAAACTGTCATCATAGATCTTACGTAATGCTTCTGTAAGGCGATAACACTGCCGATAGATCCGTTCAAAACACCACTTTTGACAACACTTTTCATGTGTGCATGTGAGATTGAAACTGTTCATCACTGTTATAACGACCTAAAATCTGTGCTTAGTACCAGAATGCATTTAGGAGCATTCTTCCACATCAATTGCTGCGGTGATATGGATTTGACTTAAGAGGAGGTACCATCAAGGTACCAAGTTACCAGACAATGTGAACGGTCATGAAAAAACTTTTTCCGACTCAGATTATTTAGTATAGTTGTCGACTGTAATGTTTAGTGGTTTTGAATGGTTTTCTTCGAGGTTTGCTAAGTTTTTGAAGCGGTCATGAGAAATCAGAAATACTTCTGAAGAAGCGATATTTGAGCAGGATAGACCTTAATCCATGGTAAATTCTTGAACATCAATTCTTCTTCATCGTCCAGATTGGACGCTTGAAGCTGTGAGGATCCACCGGTGGGAATTTGCGAGCGTGATGTGCTTCCAAGAGCCGATGGAGGACATGAGCCGATCGTTATGGAACGTTCATATGAAAAATCTGGCGATGGAATTGATTGCGATGGATGAGCGCCTTCATCCGAATAGACGGATTTCGATAGGGCTGGCTTAAGACTATCACGAGCCGTTGATGGTGCACTGCTGGGTAAGACTGAAATTTGACTAGTCATCATAAAATCTTATCATGTTTTCACATAACTTGTCTGAGAATTTTTGTGGAACAGTTTTGAAACCAATTCAATTCAAAACAATTGAAAAATGGAAAAAATCACAATGAGAGTAATACCTCTCGTGAAAGTTGACAGCAAATCTGACCAC